TGCATTTCACGAAAAATGGGGTGTTTGCTACGTAATCATTCACGCGGACTTCATGTCGTACCCACGTTATGACTTGCGCATGCACGCACACTTGAAACCGAAACCCGAGTGCTCCAATTCGGATAGAGAATATCAGATCCTTATTAAATGTTTTTCTTTTTAATTTATTTTAATTTTATTCTTGTTTATTTTATTTTACTTTTAACACTTTTTTGATGTAGGGGGTAAGGGTACTTTTGTTCAGAGTCAAGTTGAATTCACTCGGTGATGTGGGAAAGTACTGATTGTTTTGATTTACGTCCGTTTCTTTTTGGGTTTTTTTTAAGGCTAAAACTGTTCATAAAAAGTTTTTGCTTTTCATTAATATCATTGATTCGATATGAATTTTTTGAGTACTTGAAAATTTTTGTAAAGTGCTTGAAAAGTTTTTAAAAAGTGCTTATTTTTTATTCAAAGATTTGGCTACGCACCCTGTTATATATGTGTATTAATTACACATTTATATATTAATTTGCAGGTAGGTTAATTATGGTTAAATATTAAAAACAATTGAGATAGAATAAGATCGGAAACATAGTTGAGAACTGTTTTTATTGAAAATAATGCGATATTTTTGTTTGTTTATTCATTTTTCTGACTGTTAAGTCAACCAACAAAGTATGCATTTAGTTGAAAGCACAAAAATGATTTTCGTTTGTGAATGCAGCTCTCCACCCACCCTCTACGGAAAGAAATTCTCTTTCAGTTGTGAAATGTGATGATTGTGGTCAGTTATGACTTTTAACACGATGGAAATGAAATCAGATAGGACGTCTGTGACTTCTTAAGGGAGGCGATTCTAAGAATGGAATTTTTTAGGGTGGTCAGCAATGAATCTTCTCTTGTCAGAAAAGATGGGGAAAAAAGGCGAAAGATGATAAAATAAGATTTTTTACAATAATTGAAAATCAATAATAAATGGCGAAAATAATTCTGAAATTTGGAGGAAAGAAAATCGTTTTACAGGAGGGGGGGCAATAAATTGTTTTGTTTTATTGCTTCAAAGAATATGGTAATATTGAGGGGAGCATGACATTAATTTATATTCAAATTCATCGGGACCATGAAATATTATCGTAATGAAGGGAGTGATTTTTGTATTGGATATTGTAATAGTGAGAGTTGACTGTGTATATATATATCTATGGCATTGAATAGTAAATTTTTTGTTGTATTGCCTTTAAGATATAGTTCATGTGTCATTTTAGGTGGTATAACATCTTCTCAGATTCTTCTTACTAGACTTCTTGTTTAGATTGGCTATCTATCTGAAGATCGAGGAAGAGGAATGCAGATACTCAGGTTCATGAAAGTTCCTGCAATTAATAACAAATTAATGCCTTTGTGGGACTCAAAAATTCCTCTTCTGATTCAGTTATTAGAAGGTGAAAATTATCCCTTTTTATGACACATTATTTCTACAACAAAATTTTAGAAATTTTTTGTTTTGTTTAATACATGACCCAAACTATAAAAGTATTTGTTGTTTGTTTCTTCTTTTTCTTATTTATGCTTCTTTTCATTTGGTTTTGTGACCTGGAATATAGGGATGTAACGAACATTCACTATTCGATATTTAGCCCTTTTGCTGAACATTCCGTTGGGCAAATGTTTGACCAATTATTCGACAATGTATTTTTTGGAAAAATTTTTGAATTTTTCTACATACATACATACATACATACATTAATATATATATCTTTTCATGTAAATCTTTTGTAATCTTTAATCTTTGTTTTAAAAATGCAATCTTTTTATGTAATTAATTTTCTGTAAACCCTTTTCTTAATTTATTATTCAAAACGAAACACTTTCTCACACTATATATATATATATATATATATATATATGTTTGGCTAATCTGCAAATAATTAATTAAAGTGCAGAATCAAGAATTTTCTGCAATTGACCAGGGTAATGCGCATATTAACGGTTTTCCATCGTCAAAATTCAAAAGTTCATTCTAACAATAAATTTGTTGATTGTATTTCTTTACTTGATTCTTTAGATGTTGAGAAATAAATTAATTAACATTATGGTAATTTCACTAATTGTAATAATATTTTAATATGTTTGATTCTTTATATTATAGTTTTGAAAATTATTGATGATTAATTCTATAAACCAATGTGTAGATTTTTTGATTGTAGGTTTTGGATTGTGAAAAATAAATAAATAACGTTAGTTTAAGCATACAGAAACATTGCTGTTGTTCACACAGATATCTTATTTTCACTAAGCAGATAAAAAAAAGATTACCTAAGTAGTTTGCAGATTGTTGTTGTCGTCGTCGACCATTAGTGCATTGGGGGGGGGCTATCTGTGGCCAATATTTCAACTTCTGCCACACCCGTTTATAAGGAGGACTCATTCATACAACCTTTCATTCATCCACAAATCGCAATTTTGACCTGAACCAGAGAGAGATCAATCTCCAATCCAGTACCTCCAGAGGTATATTTTGTTATGTGAATATGGAGGACTTTGTGACCCAACCTTTTTAGCGTGCACCTAACACCATTTACTACACGGGGACTTCGCCTGACCGGTTCGAACTCTCATTCTCACGAACGTCAGTTCAGTGCCCTAACAATCAGGCTATCCTGGCCAGATTACCTAGGTAATTTAAGGTAACCATAAATGGTAACTAGTTAAACCANTGTGACCCAACCTTTTTAACGTGCATCTGTCACCATTTACTACACGGGGACTTCGCCTGACCGGATTCGAACTCTCATTCTCACGAACGTCAGTTCAGTGCCCTAACAATCAGGCTATCCTGGCCAGATTACCTAGGTAATTTAAGGTAACCATAAATGGTAACTAGTTAAACCATTTTTAGACATTCTTTTAGATCTTCCTTCTTAATCTGATTTCTACCCTTACGCGGTGTGATTTCTGCACTTTGACTTTCAAACTAATATTTTTGCTCACACTTGATTTTTCTTTCTTTTTTTTTTCTTCTTGATTTTTGGGATAGATTTTTCTTTTATCCTATATAATTTGCATCCTAAAATTTAAATGAAATGTAACGTGCTTCTGAGAGATAAAGACCCTTTTCACATTAGGACAAAAATTATGTTAATTATTTAACATATTGTACATGTTCTGAATGAATATCTATTAGCATACTTTCAGCTCAGAAATTTGCCAACCATTATTTGGAACATATAAAACTTTCCTCTTCACATTTTAAGATATAAATTATGTAGAGATTATTGTGCTCAGGAAAAAATCCTGACTTCCGGATTTGTCGCTTGCCTCGATCCTGAAGCTTCCTGAAATCCATGGTCCAGAAGTTACCAGAAATCATTGATCACATTTATAAATAAAAATTCTTGTATATTTTATTTAAAATTATTAGAACTAGAGTTTACGCTAGGCATCTCTTTCATTTGTAAATATTTTTTTCTGATAGAATAATAAATGTAATTAGAGATAAAATCAAACTTATACATAATTATTCAATTAAATTATGCTACATATAATTTATTTGCAATTTCATGTTTTGAAAATATCAAAGATTTAAATTTATAAAGACATTAATTTTTTGAAATGTGTCATTAATGATTTTACTCAAGAAATTTTCAAGAGTTTTGAGTTGGGCTCAGAAACCTCCCTGAATTACGTTATTAATTCAACATCTGATTTCTACACTTTGATTTGCAAACTAATATTTTTGCACACACTTTATTTATTTGGATAGATTCATAAAACTTTCTTCTTTACATTTTAAGATATAAATTATGTTGCTAATTCAACACAATTTACAATTTCTGAGTAAATTTCTTACTATCTATGACAAAAATGTTTATGATCCAACATAATGTTTGCAACTCATGAAATTTAGTATTCACTTAACAAGTTTCTTTTTCCTGTCATAGATATTGAGTTTCTTTATTCACATTAATGTAACGTTAAATCAATAAACTTTTTACATAGGGTTGTGCTATGTGTGTTGGCTATTGCGGATCCGCACATTTGGATGCTGTTCTTGTTAAACTTGAAAAAGTTGCTAAAGATGATAAGAAAAATGCTGAATTTTTAGGTTTTATAAAGGTAAAATATGTTTATTTTTAAATATTGGCATAATTTTGTGTCTCTCATACTCTGCTAAAGTACCTTTTTTTATTGTTTTAGGAATTCAGATCATGATAAGCTAAAGGCAACTATTATACGGTTATGTAACTACAAATGGTCCCATTCCAATACTGCTTACAAGAATAGAAACACCAATTCTAAGAAGTGTTTCTACCAATCCTCCAAAGTAATTTAACTCGGTCATATATTTTTTTAAACCTTTTCTATAAATACTTGTGTACTTTTTAAAAGATTTGAATAAATGATGCATTTTTTGAATATGCTATTGCTGTTTTTAAAAAATGTTTTTTCTTTCTGTTATTCAGAAAACTTTTTTGTTAAAACTCATAAATATTAGTGCATTCAGGAGTTCCCTTGTCTTCTGGATTGGGATCAAAATTACAACATTAGTTGTAATTTGAACATTAGTGGAGTTGAACATTAGTTGTCATAAATCCGAAATTGGGTCGGCTGTTCAACGATGGTTATAAAATTAAATTAAATACCATTAATGAGCAGAGCAATTTCACGATAATTAATTTGTTGATTTAAGAAATAAAATTCTGTTTTAAAATCAATTAAACTGCTGAAATATTTTTCGTAAAATAATTCTTGGAATTATTCACACTTACTGCTATTTTCACTGTCGTTTGAAAATAAAGTTAAAGAAACAAACAAAACTGATACAGGTGTATTGTATCGCATCTAAAATTGCTAGTTTTTAATTTTCAAATTAACGAAATTTATTAAAAATTGGAGTGTGTGTGTGTGAACGATACCAAGAATTACTTTTAAAACAGCCAAACTTTTTTTTTTATCTGATTTTATGTGCATTTAAAGTCTGTAAATGTTTTGTGTGAATTAATGGAATTGTGCGAATGCATTGAAAAGAATGTCTGCCTTCAATCTCAAATGGCACCTTCTTAAAATAATTTCAATTCATAGTGGGTTAACGAAGCAAAATAAGTAAAATTTTCATTTGTAGATGCTGATTAGCATTTTGTGAACTGAATGCATATCAGCGAGATTTTGTACCCACTCATGCATTTTATGTTCTATTTTATTATTGTTTCAGGTGCCAAATTTCATTGATGCTGTCAGAAAAAAATTGTGTTGTGTTCATTGTCCTCACACTAGAAAAGAGAATCTTCCAGAATTTAGCTACTCATCACTTGCCTGCAGTTTTCATTGATGCTGTCAGAAACAAATTGTGTTACATTCATTGTCCTCACACTAGAAAAGAGAATCTTCCAGAATTTAGCTGCTCATCACTTGCCTGCGGTTTTCATTGATGCTGGTGAATCTTCCACGGGAGAATTCTTTACTTCACGAAAAAAAATTTGGTGTTATCAAACTTTAATGAAGTTTGATGCAAGGTTATTAAATAGAAATTAATAGAAATCTTTTCCATCAAGATAACGTTAATAAAGCGCCGTAATAAAAAGTTTTGACAGTGTAAGGTGGTTTAACAAAAAGCGAAAACATTTTCTGCCAGTTACAAATCGACCGCAGCCGTCTTTTTAAAAACGTCTGTTCTCAGTTACACCAATCATCTATGATCAAAGTCTTTGTTGGGAAACGTGGTATTCTACACGATCAGTAAGTCTTTTATTTTATTCGATATGTGTTTTAAACTTCGTAGCTTGTTAATTATAAAAAAAAGTTATAGAGCGGCAATACGCAGTTTAAAATGGCAAATCTTTGTAAATTTGAGTTTTGCTTCATAGTTTAAAAATATTTTATACCTCTAAAACATCTCAAATACCCCTTTTTTTTTAAAAGCATACAATACTCATAGTACCTAATG